TTTACAATGATGATTTGAAGAGGAATTTTTTTTTTTTTTTTTTGGCTAATAGATTTTTAGCACATTTTGAGGATTTGGGTTTTGATTTTGGTATGTATTGCTCTGCAATAGACCGGGGGGAGGGGTTGTAAAGTGAGTGACATGATATTCATTATTTATGTTTTTATTTTCTTCTGGGATCAATTGAGTTTGATAGTTCTTTACATAATTTCCAGTCAACGTTTTTAATGTTCCAGTCTGAAGATAGGGTGCCTGTTAGTACTCGATTATGATTGGAAAGCAGTGGCTCCCATAGACATCATCACATTTGCCAGTCATATTCTAAGGTAAGTTCTATAGTCAAATAGGTGCATATTGCTGGGTGTGTGGGTGTGTGTATATATATATATATATATATATATATATATTTATTAAGTAACAAAATGTTTGGTAATCCGTATGGATAATCCCAAGGAGGATGCAATCCAGAGAGCTAAATGTCAAACCAGAGCAAATATTAGTTAAATTAAAAAAAAAAAAAAAAAAAAAAAAAAACAGACAACCTTACAGGAACATTGATTATATTTTATTTCCCCAGATTTTCTTTTATGCTTGGAAATGTGATCTGATGAACCAGGAAAAATCAATTTCCAGGGGGAATAAAATATAGTCAATGATTTCACTTGAATCCATTGCATTCACTTACATGCTAATATCCTTGGGAAAGGTAGGAATCCTCTTCTAGCTAAATATAGCAGGACAGACAGAATTCTATAGCCTTGGATAGCAACTGGTCTAACACAGAAAAAAATGGCAATCTACTGGGAGAAAAAAATCTGCCTCATCAATCATGTATCTTTCAATACATGATCACCCATGAATGCATCACACATGGCACATAACATATATATATATATATAAAATGGACTCCCTTGTAGATTTTGACATATGAGGATCCACCAATTCCATTCAATTTTTGTTTGTGTCATATGTGACACTTTGGTCGTGCTAGCGACCTATGTATACAAGTCCACATATTGTGTAACAGTGAGGATCTCTAGACATAGTAACAGAAATACTTGCTGATGCTTTTTGCCGTTGTCTTTCATCTTTTAGCCAGCCAATATAACCAATTTCAAAATTTCTGATACAACTCCTGGCTCAAATATCTCCAGTTATTTCTATCCAGGACGACTCACTCAAAATTAATATGAAGCACACTGATAGCTGAAAGGTTACTCGTTAGCTTGTCTTTATACCCAATCCACTGATATTCTACAGTCCTTTGGCCACTGTCAAGCTGACTATACATGAGGACCTTAGGTATTCTGTTGTTGCATTTTTGTAACATGACTAGCTCAGTGAAGTTATGACTGCATCAGGAAAGTCTCAATTCCACCAATGTTGTGTGTGTGTGTGTGTGTGTGTATGTATATATATAGGTACCTCCACGAGATCACTAAAAAAAGAGCATAGCATGATGAAAAAGACGCCAAACTTGACGAAAACAAAATTTTATCGCCTAAATGTTTGTTATTATTAAGAGGAAAGATCAAAGTATTTTTTGGGGTATTTTTTTTCCATTTTTAATCGTTCCTAGCACGTCCGAAATTTTCGTTAAAAAATCTAGTTTTTTTTGAGTCAGCAAAATTGACCATTTTTTCCATTTTAAAAAAAAAATGAAAATCTGACATTGAAATTTTTTTAAATATCAATTATCATTTTTTCAAAACTGATTTTAAGAAAATCAGAAATTATAATGTTTATTTAAAAATATTTTGAACCAAACTTAACTTAGCTTTTGTGCCAAAAAGATGTAATTTGAAAATAAAACAAAGCAGGTCATAAACTTTCGCGTCTCTTGACATGTGATGAATGATATATTTACAATTCCATGAGGCTAATTTGTTCTACGGAAGGAGAAAAGTGAAATAATTTACATTTACGTGAACAAATTATTTACCCGTTATTTTTAACGAAAACTTTCAGCGGTCTAATTTTTTTTTTTTTGTACTTAGCTTTCACCTTTACGTTTATGATGCTTTATGGGAAATATATTGTAAAAGAAATTAAAAGAAAACTGTTAAGAGTGACATTAAATTTCATATTTCTTAAGAAAGATATCTAATTAATTTATAGGTACCTTTCTTATGAAATTTTATCAAATTGTACATAAAATACTATAATTTTATGTACATTTATTACATTCTACTGTTATTTGTATTTGCATTCATTTTATTATTAATTTTGATATTTCATTTATGGAAAAATGTCGTAACTGAGATTAATATAAAAATAAGATCATATAAATTTCATAAGATGATACTGATACTTGTAGGTACCCTTCTCAGTTGAAATTGAAAAATCAAATTAACTTCTCCACACGTGTTTACATAAAAGTAAAGGCCTTAACAGCGGAGAACAATGCTTAACTCAAATAACGCAGCTTAATTATATTCTGGTTGGTCTTCCATATTTTATAATTACAGCTCGATTATAAGCACAAAAAATTACATTTCTTAATTACTGGGGATCTTCTGATTAGTCAAAATGATACAATTTACAACGCTAAAAAAAAAGATCTATCTCATAAGGACACTTATGAAAGCCGATCTGACTTTTAACTAATTTTATAATATTTTAACAACTTAAATGTAAAATCTATTATAATTAATGAAATAACAAATAATTGTATTAAAAATTCATTTTCATCGAAAAAATTTTTTTGCTTTCAGAAAATATTGTCCATATTCATAAAAACAACTAAAAGCAAATAAAAGCATTTGAAATTAAATAATATCTTTGTTTTATTGAGTTTTGTATGTTACAATTCACAGCTGATTTTCAGGTACTGCGTATCCAATTAAAAACAAAAAAAAACATGATTTGCATTCCTCAAAGCCCTGTGCTTTTAATTATTGTATTCACTAAAACCGATGCGATCGAATTTCTAACGTTTTCATAAAATTAGTTGGGGGGTAATAAATATTTTTAAAAATATTTCTACCATGACTTTCATAAAAAAACATTTTATAATAATTTCGATCATCTGTGAATAGTTCCTGAAAGTTTCATTAACATCCGATAATTATTTCTATTTTTGCACGATTTTAAAAATAATTAAAAAAAACTTTGGTCTTTCCTCTTAATAATAACATAAGCATTTAGACAATAAAATTTAGTTTTCGGCAAGGTTGGCGTCTTTTTTTAGCGATTTCATGGAGGTACCTATATATATCTCGCTATCTCAAACAAAAAGCTCAATGCCTGAAGATGGTGAATGTTTTTACTGAAAGTGCTTGCAAACTATATGGACCGAACATCTGATCCATTGTACAATTAATAAAAAAACAAGGATCCTATCATTAAGCGAGTGGTCAGTAAGTTACTGCCTTCTTAATCTGTTAGCAAAGTGAATTCGCCATTAATTACATTAACTTTATTGATTTATTCTTTGAATGACTATTTTACGATATTAATTAAACCACATTATTTATATATATATATATATATATATATATATATATATAAGCTTTGATGATAACATGTCTATGATAGAATATATTATTCTAGGGGGAGTGTACACCAGTATTAGAGCTTGTGACCAGCAGACTGATCTATAAGACCTCTCTAACTGCCCATATAACCTGAGTAGGAGTCAAACTGGAGTGTTACAGTTCACATGACTATTCACCCAAGTCATGGACTGTTCACATCTTACCCCTCTGCAGAAGTGCAGTCAGCATGTTCTGCAGCCCACAACACAGGCATAAAGACTTGTGACTATATAATAATGATGTAAAATAAACATAGCATTGTGAAATATCAGAACTTTGGTTGAGGTTTTATTTTTAATCATGTCATACTAGGCAAGGTGATAAAGCCACTACAGTGCTACTGAGAGTGAAAGAATCCAAGAAAACTTTGAGGAGAAAGGACTATAAAAGAACAGGATTCAAGGAGAAAGATGGAGAAGACTGACGATGCATTTAAATTTTTGTAGATCGTAGTTGACAAGAAAGCAAGAACCTGGAAAAGTTCTTTTACAAGCAAGGAGTGCAAGAGAATAAACTAGAATAGAATTTAGTTACATCTGGCCATTTAGTACTCCAGAAATCTAGTATCACACTTAAATTCATGAAGTTACCAAAGCGATTGAAGTCAAAATGACAGGACAAGACCAATAACATTGAAGATTCTTTGGATTTTGTCAAGAATCATTCGATACATAGCAGAAGCAATATTGTTGCCACATCTGGTCTAGTGCTTCTGCTATGTATTTAGAGATTCTTGATAAAATCCAAGAAGAATCTGCAATGACATCTCAGTCATTTTCTCAATGCTGTAACAGTTTACCTGTGCCTTTTCTATAAGTATGTTCATGGTAATTATTCTGATCAGCTATCCTCTTTGGTACCTAGACTTTATGAAGTTAAGTCCAGTACTAGATTGGCAGCTAGGTCTCATCATTTTTCAGTTGAAATGGCTAGATGTAACCATAAGTTCTATGCTAAGAGTTTCTTAATCTGATAAGTATGTTCATGGTAATTGTTTTGATGATCTTTCCTCTTTGGTGCCTAGACTTTATGAATTTAAGAGCAGTTAACCATACTCAGTCAATTTTGATCTTCAAAAATTTAAATGCAATGTCAATCGTTATCTTCCGTCTTCTTAATGCTTGTTCTTTTATTGTTCTCTCTCCTTAATGTTTTTCTTTTTTGCATATTCTTTCACAATAAATAACCACTTGCGTTTTAGTGGCTCTATTGCCTTGTTTGTGGTGAAATGATTAAAACATAGTGGAAAGCAAAAAGAAGCTCAATCTGTTAATTTTAGAAGAACGTACAGTGGTATTTTCATTAAACTTTGACCAAAACAGGCAATGAATCAATTTTCAAAATTTCAGCCTTCAAAAAAAAAAAAAAAAAAAAAAAAAAACAACAACAACAACAACAACAACAACAGCATAGCCTCCATAAACAACACACCCATTACACACATTTCGCTATGATTGTTCGTACCTTAAGATAAGCCATAGTGAGCAGAGGAAGCAACGTAAAAGGAACCAAATAAAGAAGCGCTGGTTGAGCAGCTTTAAAAACTTCTGAGGAAACGGTGGCAGTCAACAGACCTAAAAAGATAAAAAATACAAACTTGTTATCACATATTCACAGATATAACAGTAAGGATTATTTAATAGAAACCAAGAAAAACTGAACGCTCACCTTACATCAGATTAAAGAATAAAATTCCGTAGTCAAACAGATGATTTGGTAGAATTAAGCTGGCATTTGGAAGAAGCCTTAAGCAGAAAATGAGTTTTATTTTTGTCCTGATGAGAATGATACTTAACATGAAACTTTGCAAAGCACTTTTGACATCTAAAAATGTTCATCTTCGATGTTGAAATCAAACAAAAATACAATTTTGAAAAGATTTTCTTTAAAATGATATACCACACTAAAATTAAATGTAAGCTATTTGAACAGAGTTAAAACTAAATACTGCTAATGCCATCTTGCAACAAAATCAGAACAAAATTTTTAGTCAACCCAATAAAAAAAAATTAAAAAAAAAAAAAATACTTTTTCATGTATAATTCTTATAAAGGATTTGACTGATTTGTTTTCTATGAAGGCTGGTCAACTCTTTGCAGGTTATTTAAAGCCAGAAAATATTTTAAGATTGTAAGACTTTTTTTTGTTTGGCGATAATAGTGATCTAGTGATACAAGTTTTACTAATTAGGCCATAGCTCGAGATTGAGTTAATGCAAATAATCCATTCCTTAGCTGTATAGTACGTACTTTGTCAGAGCTAGATAGAGTTTTGAATTCAAAGTTTGCCTTCTCCTAGACCAGTTGATACCCAAGGCCATAGAAACCAATCTGTCCTATTTACCCATAGCTTGTGGGGGAAGAGGTGGATTCATACCTTTCCCAAGGGTACTTGCACATAAATGAATAACAAACCCAACTGGAATTGGAACTCTGCTCTATGATTAACAATTCTGAACCATTATCCTTTATACCACCCACACATCCAAGCTTACAGTACCTGGTATTTCCAAGCAGTCATCCATCAAGGTACTGACTAGGCTTGTCGTTGCTTAACTTGCGGGTTCGAATGAGAACTGATGCTTCAACATGATATGAGCGTGAGCCAAGATCACCTGCACATCCAAGATTACAGTACCTGGTATTTCCAAGCAGTCACCTATTAAGGTACTGACTAGGTTTGATATTGCTTAACTTCGGTGAATGGATGAGAATCAGTGTTTCAACATGATGTGGCTTTTGGAAAGGATTTGAGAATAGAAAGAGGGCGTGGTGAAGTTTTTGGTTCAACTCACTTTGTGGAATTGGTATCCAGATATCTGCTCATTAAAACCTGATTATTGAAAATATATTGTCTAAAATTATTAAAAATGAGAAAAAACTGCCATCATCATCAGTCTGAAAAAATTCATTTTTCTTTTCTTTAAACAAAAAAAAAAAAAAAAACTTATCTTGTATAAAATTCTTGTCTTTCCGAAAGGCTGTAAAAAGAGAGAAAAAATGAGGTTGAAAAGATTTTACCTAAAAAATATCCTATTAAAGAACAATGAAAATATGTGATCTTCTGAATGGTGTTGATTGGTTGAGGAATTCCTGCCTCAATGCTGTTAAGCTGGGACTTCTTGTAGGCGTCGTACCTTAGCACAAAGCAGAGTAGCAGGCCCGGCATCACCTGAGACACAAGAAAGGAAAATCACTTTCAATGTTGCAAATATCAGACATAAACAAAGTAAGCAATGATATCAAGACAGATATTTTTTTTTAAATGAGAAAAATTCAATTCATAATCATCAAAAATGAATATTTCAACAGTTTTCTCAACAAATTTCAAAAATATTCTCAAACATTCTAAAAAGGTAGCCATTTTCAAAACCTTTCAACAAATTTAAATAACTGTTTTACAATGTTAGAGAATTAATATTTTTAAATCAGGGAATTCATAAAGGTTTATGACTAAATTGATGCATACATATATTTTTACTCATATAATATTAAAGTTAATTGATAAATAAATTCTTCAATCCTATAAAGCAAGTTCAGGATGAATAATGAAACTGGTATTAAAATAGAGTCAATTTATTTCTCTTCAAAATTATAAGTTAATTGATAAGTAAGGTCTCCAATCCTATAAAACAAGTTTCAGACCAGATGCAATAATGAAACTGGTATTAAAATAGAGTCAATTTATTTCTCTTCAAAATTATAAGTTAAATGATTATCCATTTCTCAATCCTATAAAACAAGGACTCAGACCAGATGCAATAATGAAACTGGTATTAAAACTAGAGTCCCCTTATTTCTCTTCAAAATTATAAGTTAATTGATAAGTAAGGTCTCAATCCTATAAAACAAGTTTCAGGACCAGATGCAATAATGAAACTGGTATTTCAATGGAGCCAATTTATTTCTCTTCAAAATTACAAGTCTAAATGTATTATCCATTTGACTCGCATCCCCTCTTTCCATGGACTCGCATCCCCTCGTTTCATGGACTCGCATCCCCTCGTTTCATGGACTCGCATCCCCTCGTTTCATGGACTCGCATCCCCTCGTTTCATGGACTCGCATCCCCTCGTTTCATGGACTCGCATCCCCTCGTTTCATGGACTCGCATCCCCTCGTTTCATGGACTCGCATCCCCTCGTTTCATGGACTCGCATCCCCTCGTTTCATGGACTCGCATCCCCTCGTTTCATGGACTCACATCATTTTCTATATCACAGAAACACTGTAAGTATGTATATTTCAAGATATACATATGCACACAATGTATAATGCTTTAATTTTAGTTATCTTGTATACAAGAAAAGTTTATACATGCAATTAAATATAAGAACTGTTGTATTTTTGAGAAATGCAATTTTTTAATGAACCGACGGAAAAAGACATCATCAGAATGTTGCATGACTTACAATATCTCCGAGTCCCAGCATGGAGAAATGACTGCTATTCTGCATACTGGAAAAGAAGAAAAATAGCACCTTTTAGACATAAACAGAAGAGAGTTTCTGTAATTATGAAATCATCCATTAAAAATTATTTTAGCTTAGTAAATGTTTCAGAGAAATGGTTCACAAGAGTTGAGAAGGAGGTCAGAAGCACCTGCTGAAGGAGAGGAAATTCTTGTATGCATTGGTTGATATTTCAATTATCGTATATATTCACTGACAGGTCCCCCCCCCCAACCAGATAGGTCACACCCCTACTTTATGGCTTAATAATTGATGAGTTAATGTTGACTCGCAAATAGGTCACACTATAATCTTGAGAGTTACACAGCCCTTTTTAAATATAAGAATTATCAGATATCTACCTTTATTTCAAAATTTACAATTATTAATACACTTTTGCAGTTAAAATACATTTCGTCAATCAACATGTTAACAAAAGGAAGTAACTGTTGCACTGGTATTTTTTATATTCACCACATTTTTACATTGAGTCAACTAGATAACAAAAAAACTAAATAAATACAGAAGAAATGTTATAGTACATTTAGAAAAAAGTGTTTATCTATATATCAAGTTACAGTTTTAAAATGCATTCAAAACTGAATCCCAAGAATTCTTCACTAACATCTTGGGAGTTACAAAGCCCTTTTTGAATGTAACAATTATCAGATTTCTACCTTTATTTCAAAACTTACAATTATTAATACATTTTTGCAGCTAAAATACATTTTGTCAATCATCATGTAAACAAAAGGAAATAAATATTGTACCAGTATTTTTATATTTACTGCATATTAAAAAAAAAAAAAAAAAAAAATAACTAGAGAAGAAAATCTTATGGTACATTTAGAAAAAAGTGTTTATCTATTTATATATCAAGTTACAGTTTTAAAATTCATTCAGAAATGAATCCTAATTCTTCACTATCATTGCTGTCAAACATCATTCTCATTTCTTCATGCAGTTTGTCATTTGTAAATAACACTTAAGAATGCCTTTTAATGTTACACGAAACAACGATTAAAGAAAAACAATAAAGAATATATTTCATTTCTTTAAGTCTTATATTCCGTCTTTTTGACAATTATATATATATATATATATATATATATATATATATATATATATATATTTTGCAGAATGAATTATGGGACTATTTTTTCTTTGTAAATAAAAATCTACACATGATTCCTTGACTTATGTATGCATGTTCAGGGTTTCTATATCAGTCTAATGTGAGGGCCCCAACCGAACAGTGACTGATGAATCAATGAATATTTTATAATTTTATTTATTTTGATGGATATGTGAAAATAGGTAAGCATGAGGTAAGTTTAAAGCAGTGGGTCAGTATATATGATAGATAAATTATTTCTATATGGAGAAAAAACACAGTTTTAGTGTTTATGGGTATCTTTACTGATTTCTCAGAAAGCATGATGACAAGGTAGTTTTGTTTTACATTTATGTCAAGCGGATAGGTCGCACCCCTAATATTTTGTGAAATTTTTGGTAAAAAAAAAGTGCGACCTATCTGCAAGTATATACAGTAAATATTATCATTCATCAAAAATTGAGTTATTAAAAAAAAAAAAAAAAAAATTCATAAAATCAATTTAGGCAATGAAGAATGAAAAAAAGTGTGCCCCAGAAACACAAAACAACAAAATGGTCACATGTGGAAAGGGGAATTAAAATGATGCGCAAGTCATTAAACACAGCAACTCAGAATAAAAATAAGAAAAAAAAAATGGATTTTAAATTAGTTAACACTTATTTTGAATTTGATAAGAGGGGAAGCCATATTTTGAGAAAAGATAGCAGAGGATCATGAAATATTCTGAAAATTTACTCAAAGACCAAATTAAAAATGGAGACTTTTTTTTGTATTAATTTGCCCCAAGCAAATTTTGTTTGGTTGATATTGTTTAACAGCATATCAATCCTGTATATATTATATAAGAAGGGTTTAATGCTTTAATTTACGTATTTTTTAATGTAATTTTATACATTCAGATTAAAGTTGTTTTTCTTTTTTTTTTTTTTAGATATATATTTTGTAGATCATAAAATATATTGTTGGTAATCTTACTATAAAAATGTATCTTTATATATTTTTAGTTTTGCATTGATTGTCATTTTGCTATAAAAATCTATTGTTGGTCATTTTATTATAAAAATGTACTGCTGATTCTTGTTTGGGGTGTTCACTATTTTCCCATAACTGGGACCCTAACCGGTGCTACCACCCTGGGTCAGGATGGACCTTGGAACAACCTCTTTATCAAAGGCCTTGATAGTGAATGTAGTTTATCGTCATATCCAGGACGACCCCAAGCAAGAGGTTTCTGCAAGTGGAAGAATAAAAAAAGATTTAGAATTGACTTGGAAAAAAACCCCGTTACTTATTTTCTAGAACTGTAAATAATTTATGCAAGGTAAAGTTTCTCAGACTAGCCTCTGAATGCTTTGAACTTATATCAATGCATAAAAAGTAAAAAGATCAAATTTAAAAAAAAAAAAGAAAAAATCCAAAGTAAGATATTGCCATTTTGCTTTGTTGTCCATGAAATCAAAAGAAATCAAAATTACAAAATGTTTTTGCTACTTTTGAACTGTGCCTTAAAAAAGAAAAAAAAAAAAAAAAACATTAGGCAAGAAACAAAATTTGAAATTTAACACTTTCTGGACTTGATACTTATTCAATAGTGACATATATATATATATATATATATATATATATATATATATATGTGTGTGTGTTTAAGTGGATCCTCTGAAGTAGTATCGGGTGATATTAGATGACATTCGCCTTCAAGTTAACTTTATGAGGGCAGACTTTTGAGCTACTTACCCATGTGCGTAATCATTTTTGACAATAGAGTATCAAGTGTAAAGAATAAAGTGACTAAGGTTTGTGTTATGCTACAACTTTTCTTTTAAAGTAACAACCACAAGAGTTCAGTTTAAGTGGATTTTTAATGGCATATCAACTCTTTGGCACCACAAGAAAGAGAAAGAAAATCAATCCACATTGAGTATTTGTATCCCTAACTCATTGTACCATCTTTTAAAGTATGCAAAAGGAATATGAATAGAGAATAATAGACAAAATAAGTTAATTATAAACAGATTTGCATAGAGACTAGTGTCCACATTACAGTCATTATCATTACAATATTTCAAACATTGTAGCCATTGGTCTTTATTCAGAATAAAATAATGTTATTGATTGGTTGATTAAATCTGTTTTTTTTTTGTTTTTTTTATTATTATTATTTTTTTTTTATTATTATTTTTTTTTTTTATTATTATTATTTTTTTATTATTATTATTGTTTTTTATTATTATTTTTTTTTTTTTTTTTATTTTTTTTATTATTTTTTTTTTTTTTTTTTACGGTCAATCAAACATTTGGGAGTCATTTAAAACCAAACATAATTTGGATTCTAAGAATAATTTACACTATTCGGACTAGCGTTGGTTAGATCCAGTGACAGGACCCAAAGAGTGTAAGTTCAATACCTGGTTAAGTGGAATTAATAGTAGATAACTGACATCCATTAGATATGGCATGTGGAACTAGACAAGGTCAACCCGAGCGAGCGAAATAAAGGGTTTAGCGTGACATTCCAACCACCTGAAGAAGGCTAGAGCGTACAACGGCTGAAACATTCTGATAAACATGGCAACAAAGTTGAGGACAATAGTTCGAATAATGTAAGAATAATTTATTTTTATTTTTTTGTGAGTGAATATTGCATTAACAATTTTTGAAGATAATGATTTTTATAGATATTAAACCCACTATTTAACCCATAGTTGGAAGGAGAATAGATGATTCATACCTTTCCCAAGGTAATTTGTGTGTTAGTGAATATAATGAACTCAACTGGAATTTGAACTTGGCGCTCTGATTTCTCGTTCAGACTCACTATCCACTACACCACCTGCACATTGCCACAATAATTTTAGCTTAAATATTTATTATAGATCTGTTAGAGGTGAAACCATTAAGAATCATTATTTACACCAGGGGTCGGCAACTTATTCGACCCCGCGGGCCGGATCGTGTTATGACGGGTCGCAGGCTGGACGAAGGTCATTAATGAAAAATTAAGGAAAATTACATATGCAGACCCCTGTCAACCTAAATATTTAAAACCACAATGAAAATAAACATTGAGAAATCAGAAAAACAAAAGAAAATCTAAAATTAAAAAAACACCTAACAAAATTTACTTTTCCTCAAGGAACGTCAAAATACTTCAAAGAGAAAAAAATCAACCGAAGTGAAATGGATGAAATTATGATGTGTAGGTTTGAAACTGTTATTGAAAATTGTTCCACACACACAAACAAAAACGATGCACATATACCCATACATACGAGTACAAATAGTTGCAAACATATACACGTATGTACACATGCGGTATCATCCACACATTCATGAGGCATGTATGCATGATGCGCGTATGTTTAACTGTCTACATTTCTGCTACCTCGCATGTCAGTCCCTCCCTGGCCTCTTTCACTTTATCGTTCCTTTCGCTTCTGTTATCTTTTAATGTAGCCAAGGGTCATAACAAATATGTATCCATTATTTGACATTAAACGTAGGCAACGCAACTTGGTAAAATAAGACTCATGAAAGATAACTGGCAGATAGTCTAATATTTTTAGTACTATGGAAAATGACATCTCTCATGTTAAAAACAGAGTCATTGGTAATCAGGCTCGCGGGCTGGTCAAAATGCCTTCGCGGACTGGATGTGGCCCATAGGTTGCTGACACTATTTATATTTGGACTATTGTCCTCATCTTTGTTGTTGTTATCAGGTATTAACAACAAAGATGAGGACAATGGTCCAAAATAAAAATAATGTAAATAATAACTCCTCATCTTGGAAATTCAAACAGAAATTAAGAATTGGTTAGGAAATAATTTTACAAGTGAAATGAAAAGATAAACAGAAAGACATGATCTTCGAGAGGGAAAGACAAAAAAAAAGAAGAAAGAAAGAAAAAAAGAAACAACTCACCTTGGAAAGACTAACTTTCCAGGAAGTGACAACTTTGGAGCATCTCGTACGAGACCACTTAAATGAAGTTTCTTAGCAAAGAGACCAACCTGGGAAAAAGAAAGAAAAATAAGAAGTAGGAGAAAAACATTTCAAATACTGATAGATTCTTCATCCAACAACATGCAAGGTCACAAAAAAAAAAAAAAAAAAAAAAAATGTTTGGTGTATCAATCAGAAAAGACAACAAAATCATTTAATATGCAGATTTATATAAATTTCCATTTTGTTGAAAATAAAAAACAAAAATGGCTATGACAATACATTAATGAAAACATACTAAACGCAGCAAACAATACAAAACATTTAATGTCTATCTCAGACCACGTGCAGATTTGGGAAATTTCAACAGCATATCCAAAACTTAGTTTTGCATCTCTTCCAAACATTATGACTGACCATTGCTCAATCATATTACTAGTTACCAACTCCAACTATGATTAGTCCACATGCCCCTCCATGATCTTGTCTCCAGTTGAGCGTCCTTTCCTCATCCTCCAACTCTGGCCACTCTTCTAATGCAACTGCCTTCTTCTGGATTTCCCTGCCCCACAATGGCAGACTTCTACAACCTACAATCAGAATTCCATCTGGTTCGGTGCCATAGATTTTTTCCTGCCTTATACCAACTCGGCTACGTAGGACCTTCTGATCAAAGCCTAAATAGTGTTTTGGTCCAAGGCATGTCAGATCTAATGACAATTTCCCCTAAGGGACACAGTTTCGAATTCTGCCAGAGGACATATTTTTCTAACAATGTTTCTCGAGTATTCAGGCTGGAAGATGTAAATAAATAAATATACTGTTTAATAAATAAATAAAAACAGAGCATCTCCTCAAATAGGAGTATCTATTTCAAAAATCACCTTTAAACAAATAAATAAAAAAAAATTTCCTATAAAATTGTCTTTGTTTACGTTAGGATCCAAACAGAGCAGTTATTTATATTTTGAGAATCAGGAAAAATGTGTGTTCAGAAGCACTATTTGTGTTTTGTTTGATCAGGAGGTCCTACGTGGCCGAGTTGGTATAAGGCACGTCAGGTCTAATGACGATTTCCCCCATGGGACCGATGTTCGAATCCAGCCGGAGGACGCATATTTTTCTAATAAGATTTCTCGAATGTTCAGGCCGGTAGATGTAAATAAATAAAAACAGAGCATCTACTCAAATACGTGTATTTATAATTTAAATATAACGTTTAAACAAATTTTTTAAAACAAAGTGTGTGTATATATATATATATATATAAGGATTATGGCTTATAAAATAATTGACTTCCTGTATATATTATATAAGAAGGGCTTAATTCACTTTATTTTTTTAAAAATGTCATTCCTAAAAACATATATAAATATATTAATACTATGATTTTCTGGAGCCTTCTAAAACTTGTTTTTATTTATTTGTAAGGTTGTATGTTATACTGTAGCTATAAGTTGTTAAATGCATTAAAAATACTAATCCAATTGCATCATTAGCAATTTGAAAAATAAAGCTTCTGAAATATTTTGATTTTAGCCTTACTGCGTATATGGTAAAATTAAATTTTCCGTTTGCAGGTGACATTTATTTATGACACAGGAACATAGGGTTAGAAAATGTCATAACCATATATATCAATATATATCAGGGGTCAGCAATCATTAGCTATGTGCCAACTTAGGATTTTAAAATCATTCAGTGTGCCAACAGCATACATATTTTTATACAAGTCAAGGTCAATATACCTGTTAAATTGAAACAGATAAATATCTTCTTTGTGTTGTAGTAGTTATTGGTCTGAGCTTCATGATGTCATTTGCAGCTGCGTGCCATAGGTTACTGACCCCATATATATATATATAAGGTACGGAGAGGATTTGGCATGCCAAGTTCAAATTCCATTAAAAGCTATGAGCAAAATAGCAAGGCAGACAGCACTCTCTAGCCTTAGTTGGCAACTAGTCTAGTAGAAATACAGCAGAATTCAAAATCAATTCGATGTGGAACTGGTAACTCCATCCCATAAATAAAACCAGATATACTAGAGAAACCATAGCAACAACACCTATCATGATGAGGCTGTTGACCTAAATATCAAGGGAAGAGGGGGATGTGCGTGTACACACATATACAAATCAAAATAGGCTCAGATAAGAAATCTATGATAAAATCAGATTTTGAATTCAATAAAAGCACTCAATGCAATAAAAAGATAGTATCTCAAAAAAAAAAAAAAGAGGAAAAGAGACCAAAAAAAAAGATGAAAAGAGACCAAAAAAAAAGATGAAAAGAGACCAAAAAAAAAGATGAAAAGAGACCAAAAAAAAAAATGAAAAGAGACCAAAAAAAAAAAAAAAAAGATGAAAAGACAAAAAAAAAGATGAAAAGAGACAAAAAAAAAGATGAAAAGAGACAAAAAAAAAGATGAAAAGAGACAAAAAAAAAAGATGAAAAGAGACAAAAAAAAAAGATGAAAAGAGACAAAAAAAAAGATGAAAAGAGACAAAAAAAGATGAAAAGAGACAAAAAAAAGATGAAAACAGACAAAAAAAATGAAAAGAAGATGAAAAGAGACAAAAAAAAAAGATGAAAAGAGACAAAAAAAAAAGATGAAAAGAGAGAAAAAAAAAGATGAAAAGAGAAAAAAAAAGATGAAAAGAGAGAAAAAAAAAGATGAAAAGAGAGAAAAAAAAATGAAAAGAGAGAAAAAAAAAATGAAAAGAGAGAAAAAAAAAAAAGATGAAAAGAGAGAAAAAAAAAGATGAAAAGAGACAAAAAAAAAGATGAAAAGAGACAAAAAAAAGATGAAAAGAGACAAAAAAAAAAAGAAAAAAAAAGATGAAAAAGACAAAAAAAAGATGAAAAGAGACAAAAAAAAAGATGAAAAGACCAAAAAAAAGATGATGAAAAGAGACCAAAAAAAGATGAAAAGAGACCAAAAAAAAGATGAAAAGAGACCAAAAAAAAGATGAAAAGAGACCAAAAAAAAGATGAAAAGAGACCAAAAAAAAAGATGAAAAAAAGACCAAAAAAAAGAAAAAGAGAAAAAAAAAAAAAAAAAAAAAAAAAGAGGAAAAAAAAAAAAAGATGAAAAGAGACAAAAAAAAAAAAAAAAAAAAAAAAGGGAAAAAAAAAAAAAAAATGTCCACAAGAGAAAATTAATTTTAATAAATATTTACTTACTGGGTTCTCTGCAGGTCTGGTTGCGACTTTCACCATCACATTCGTACTAAATATATATGATGAGAAAAATACCTAGAAGAAAAGAAGAAAAATGTTCATCTTTTTATTCATTTCAACTGTAATAAAAACACAATAAGGAAAAAAAAAAAAAAAGATTATATTGCAAATAACTTCCAATCTCTTACTTATGCGTCTCTATCAACCCTTTTATCTTTATAAAATTCTCTTAACAACACTACCTGACACTGAGATTGAACCAGTTATGTTTACACAATGCTTTAATTCTCTATGCCATGTGTTTGTTCAGGTGGTGGAATTTTATAAGTGGCTTTTCTTTTATAATGAGAGGCTCCTAAATTATATTTATTTTTATGCTGGTTCTCCTGATGATGTTTGTCAGGACCGATTCTTTCAGTTATCTCATCTTCTAATACTGTTCTTTGTCTAGTGACTTTATTCCACAGGAGTTGATGACTACTCTTTTTTTCTTTTTTTTTTAACTTTATATATGGTTAGCAATACCTGATTTCAATGTTCCTCTGCCCTTACTTTCAATGGTAATATTAGCCATTTTCCTGCACAGAAAGATTTGGCATTCATTGACTCAACAGCCACTACTGATTTCAGTTGGAATGTATAAAATCTTTCTCTTAAAACAGTTTTTTTGGAAAACTTGTTTCTCAAGTCCAGTAATTGTTATGACTCTAGTATTGATGGAGGTTTCCTTCCTAACTTTTTATTTGAAGTCGTGTGAAATGTTAACATCTTAATTATGCCATAACTTTTGTTTTGACTTACATGTGCATTATGTCATTGGGGGGTGCTTATTTGTGTCAATTCAGAACGAACACACAATTTTAATATTTATACATTATATTTACCACAGATGTAAAACATAACCAGTGGTTTACTGATAGACTAATAGTTCCATACATGTGAGGATGCATGATGACCATCTTGAAATACCTTTTCTGTTGCCTAGAGTTTCAATCAAGAGGCATAACTTGGTTTCCATCTAGGGTGCGAGTTAGCTCCCTTGTTACGACATCTATCCTAACAATGTGCTATACATTTTAGTTGTTGCTGCTGCTGGTAGTCTTCAAGTGATATGGTTTCTGTTTTTTGATACAGTTCTTTCTTTATGATTGTGTAGAGCTAGTCTGCGATGTTCAAAGAAGGATGATCGTTGCCAAAACCCTAAGGCTTTACTCACTCAAAAGCTTTTTTTTTCACGGGGCAACTAAAGGGTGAATAAGACAGTGAAGAATTAATTACCAGGAGATATTCCTTAAGTATGGGAAGCGGAAGAATAATCTAGACTCACTGATTCAGTTCAGAGTCTTTTTTTATGTGCCATGTCTCTTTAGAGCATAGGTGATCATGACCCTCCACATTTTTTTTTGTCCCTTGTCGCTTTTAAGTTTTTGCTATTTCTCCCATCCATTTACTCAAACTCATCAAGTATGCTTCGCACTGTTTTCCTCTGTCCCTCCTGCTCTCAATCTGTCCTGTGAGTATCAGGTTTTCCTAGCCTTCCTTCCTCATTACGTGCCCCAGAAATTTCAACTTCCACTTCCTGATGTTAAGTATGTTTCCTTTTTGTTTCCCTTTTCTCCAAAACATCACCGTTGCTCACATGTTCGGTCCATGGTATTCTCAGGATCTTTCTGTAGAACCACATTTCTGTAGCTTCAGGTCTTCTTCATCTCAGAGGAGATCATCCAGTATTTGCTGCCATACAGAAAGACATATCATAACAGTTCAGCACTCTTTTTTTTTTGTTTTGTTTCTAACAAGATTTTTCTGTTTCTTTATACAATAGTCCACTGTTATAGTGCAGGCCTTGGTATCCAAGATGGTCAACCTGCACTACAAGTGAATCACAGTAGCTGGCAATAATAAGAGCACCTACCCGATTTTTGGGCCCTATTTCATGATATATACCATAGATAATGGCTCTAAAAGAACCTCAAAAAATTATACTAATTTATGCCAATGATTCCATAAGAAATTTTGGGTAATTTACTTTTTAAGCCCTGTGCTAAGTATCTAATAAAAATTTCCTGGGCAGTTATTTCTTCTAAATTTACATGCTTAATTCAAAAACAACAAATTTTTATAAAATCTACCGTTTTGGAGTTATCGACAATAAAAGTTTGGACTCATTTGTGTCATCAGCTATGGCAGCCATTATTGGTGTTGTTTGCATCAGTGTGTGCACAATAATTGAGACAAGTGAATGTCTATTCTGCAGGAAGTATATGCAAATGCAAACAATGCCAGTAATGGCTGCCATGACACAAATGAGCCCAAACTTTTATTGTCGATAACTCCAAAAAGGTAGATTTTACCAAAATTTTTTTGTTATTTTCAAATTAAGCATGTAAATTTACATGTAAATATAACTATTCAGGAAATTTATTACTACACACTATATTTGTTTATTTATAAGAGATTCTTCATGTCTACTGTTGGACAGTCAAATTGAACATGACCAACCAGAGAAAAGTACTCCTATTTATACCCCATCCATGGTATCTGATTGCAGTGATTGAATCCCTTTTAATTAGTCCGATATTATCAAAACTCTTTGACCACATGTGAAATAAAAATATAAAGTAATCATGCGAAATTATTACCAATACAATTGGATTAGGTGTGAAATGCCTGAGGTGTTAAAATTTTGCAAATTGATCATCAAAATCATGGTAAAAGGTGGGAAAAAGAGGTGTAATTATTAAAACAAATTAGGACCCATCTGATGATCGTTGTTTGTTCTGTCTATCGTGAAGATGATGGCCCAGAAATTGGTAAAATAGGGTGGAATTTCTAAAAAAAGTGAGCGATATTGAGGGTACAAGAGCAAAATCTTGGGGACCACCAGGTATCGTGGTAAACTGGTTCACCTAATGGCAGTGGACTACTGTACTCTGCATGGCTTTTGGAATGCATCTTTGGCTCTCAGAGTTCTGAGTACATCTAAAGAAATTTCTAACAAACATTTTATCTACCCATGTCTGTTATATCCAACCTTTTTTCCACCTACTTAATCATGTCCGTCACATACATCCCCTTTGTCAGCCTATGTTTGTCAAATACACACCCAAATTTTCATTATCTATTCATCTCTCTATCTGGGACAAGATTAAAAATCTTCTCACAGACTATTGGAATTGTTTACCTACATGACAATTGTTAATATGAAAAAATTCTTCCCAGATTTTTCGAACGAACAAATATATAATAAAGTAAACTTACAGGATCAAATCCCATTCTGATTGTATTTAAATTTAATAACAGCCAATGGATGGAGACATGAGAAATTATGACTCACCCAAAATAATGTTCAGATTCAAAACAATCACCCAATTTCTGAATACAGTAGAACTCCTTAAATTCAAACATAGAATTTGGATTCATCTTCAACTCCAAACTTTTGTATTGACATAAATATGAAGTCTTTTCTTCATTGAATCAGAACATTAACCTCAATACCAAATATCTCAGATGTTCAGTTTAGGGGAGTGTTACGTCTGGTGCAACACAAAAATAAGATGAAACTGATTCTTGATTGATAACTGAGCAATACTAAATAACAAGATGAGATATCCCCAGACATGATCAGTGGAATGAGAACAACCTATCCCCTTAGATTAAATAAAGGGTTCAGTTTGAAATTCTCTTAAGGTTACCGAGATTAACAATTGCCTGAAGAAGGTCAATGTATGCAATGGCTGAAATACTGTGATAACAAAGAGGAGACACTAGCCCAAATGTATAAAAATATAATAAAAATATTAAAAAAAATAAAATAAAAAATAAAACAACTATATTTTATCCCAGTGGACTTATTTTGCTACTTTTTAAAAAAAATTATTTGCAATTGGTTTTTCTCAAGATTAAAAAGAAGAAAGTCATATTTGCTAATTTCTTTTCAATCTGAATTTGTCAAAGATATTAGATATCAAACTGGTCATCTCTTCTTTTACATGGCTAAACAAGAGAAAAGAAAATGAAGACTGAAATTCTTACTCACCCAAAATACATCATAAATTAAAAGACCAACAAGAAGGAGTGTGGAGACCTTCAAGCTTGGAAGTCTGACTAAAGCAATGAAAGCCACGCACAAACCCATGCCAAGAGCTGAAATAAAAGAAAATTGGGTTACGCTTTAGAAACACCAATTTGGGTAGATTTATTTAATGAAATACTTCAAATCCAAACAAATCAGTCAATTAATCATGAACTTTTTTTTTTTTTCATGCTATATCAATTTTGCTGCAGTAGTAAATCCGGGGAGGCAATTTGTTAGTCCAATAAGTTTTATGGTTATTTTTCTTATTTTCTTGAAGGCCAAGATAAAGAGATGTTCATACAGTATTTTTAACAATATCAATAAACAAGTTTTACATTTTATAAAATCCTGATGTGAAATTAAAATAAATCAATTACAATTTTTATGGTTATTTTTCATTAAAGTTTTATGTATCATGTCTCACAGATTAACATTAAGATATTGTGTTGTTTTCAAATTGTCTGTTAATTTTAAAACACAGATCCAGGGCTGCGGAGTCAGATTCAGAGTTGGAGTCGGAAGCAATTAAAGGGTCATCGGAGCTGGTAAAACTATAGAGTCCAGTTGTATTTACACTTTATATAAAAAAGTCTTACATTATAGAATTTTTATTTATTTTATTTCTTCTACAGTATATTTACTATTTCCTTTAAAGAAATTCATCTCAACTTCTTTTTTAAAGTCATTTTATTTTTTTGTAGTTATTTTGTATTTGCAAAAGTAAATATATATGAAAAAAAAAAAAAATTTTACATTATAAAATTGTTTTAGTTTCGTTGTCTTTTACATCCTGTAAAAGATTAAATTTCAACTTCTGTTATAAAATTGTTTTACTTTTGTTCTTTACTTATTTCTTATTTGCAAAGGTATACATATATATCTTTTCAAATGAAAAATAAGTGTATATATATATATATATATATATATATATATATATGTGTGTGTGTGTGTAAAAAGTTTTACATTAGATCATTTTTAGTCATTTCTTGTATATCCTTTCAAAGATTTTGTCTCTAATTCTGTTAGAAAATATTGAAGAATGAATAGGTATGATATAAAAGCCAAAATATCTTTATTGTTTGATATAAACCAGTTATAATGATATAAACCTACTCAAGTTAGGAGCATATGCATAGGCTTTGAGATTTGTAGGCCATTAATCACTTAATTACATAAAGAGGAGTCAGAGGTGCAAAAAATAGAGGAGTCGGAATCAAAGGTTTTCCGATTCCAGTTCCGCACAAAGCAAAATTTAGGAATAGTTAAAAAAACAGCATATCAACATTTTGCAGGTTATTTAAAACCAAAAAATATTTTTAAATTCTAAGAATTTTTGGGATATAATGATTGAATGATACACGTTTTACTAATTAACCCATAACTGAGGGGAAGGAGAAGAGGTGAATTCGTACATTTCCCTAAGGGTATTTTCTCATAAGTGAATATAACAAACCCAAATGGAAATTAAACTCAAGCTTACAGCACCTGGTATTCCCAAGCAGTCACCCATCTAGATACTGACCAAGGTTGATATTGCTTAACTTTGTTTGCTTGTTTGCTTTACAGCATATCAACCCATTGGGTTATTTAATGCCAAAATTTAATGTTTTTCCTAAATAAAGTCTGGTATCTAAACAGTCAAAAGTTTTTTTCTTTGTTTTTTTTTTAAAATATTAATGCTATTAGTTATGGTGATATTTCTTTTTTAAATTATATTTTTGAAATCCATTTTGTTGGTAATTTTACTATAAATATATAAAAATGTATTTCTGGTATTTTTATACTTTCATAGTGTTTTGATTTGTTGGGGGAGGGTCACTATTTGTCCATAGCTGGGACCCTAACAGATGCTACCACTCTTAGAGTAGAGAGTCACAAGTAAAAGCATGGTTAAGTAATCGATCAGAAAGATTGATTACATCGAAGAGTACATGGTTGTATTTGGAAGTGGAAGAATACGTGAAGAACAGTGGCTTTCTTCTGGAATTCTAACAAAGCTCCACTGTTTTCAAATGAACATAAATGGTCGGTTCCCTGTGCCACTCCAGTAAGTACCTGACTCCTCTTGTTATCCTCTACTTTTATAAGAGCCAAATCAGGCCGAAAATAGAGTACTGTTGCCATATATGAACAGGAGCTGTACAATCTTCACTTACCAATGTTAATATAGTCCAATAGCATCTCTGCATCCTTGTGGGTGATGAATTATTTTTCACCCTAGAAACCCTTTCCGCACAGGCAAAATGTTGCATGCTTCTCAATACCAGTGCCATTCCCATAGAAAGTGTTCAGAAAAACTACATTCCTTAAGAGCTGCTGTGCTATGCACATTATAGCGAACCACCCTCATTCCCTTCATATTTTATTGGTGATATGCAAGTTCCATTCTAAAATTCCCATGAACCATTGGTTTGTAGAACCGACTCCCAAGAGGTTGCTTCCCAGATCACTACAATTTCAACATGTTCAAATCTAGGGCTAACCATTATCTTCCCCACATATTCACATAAACTGTGCCTCTTACTCTGTAACACTATCTTGAGTGGCTCTTGATCCTTGTACAGGGGTGATGAATAGTGTTTAAAAAAAATCTTTTGTGAGGTCAACTCATTACCACTTTTGGCATGTCAATGAGTACTTGTTATCACTTTTGTAATGCTTGTTGTAGTAGAGACTTTGCAGTCGTAAATGCAACTATAGTAACACTGTTGAACAATACTGGTGTCAAACACCTTCAATTAGTACTTGCTCGAAAAGTAACCGAATAGTAATTGTATAGAGAAATAGTGACTAGAGTAAAGAATAGCAGTCCATATAGTAATAGAGGATAGACTAGAAATGGTGATCCATATAGTATAGAGGACAGACTAGAAATAGTGATCATTTAGAAATCACACAACTTCCTACTTATGCATTTTCTCTATGGTCATGTGGTCTACTTAATTCAATAATAGGATCACCTGTGTTTGCTCACTGGCGATCTATGTTCAAACTCAAGTGTCGGCAGCGACACTTTATTCCTATATAACAAAAACTGAAATAGAAATTGTTAGAAGGCATCATATTTAAATACATCCTGAACTTTAGAAAGTCAAAGTCAAAAAACGTTGAATTCCAAATTTGAACAGAACCAAGAAGAAATAATATCAAATATAAAAAATCCGTTAACTTGCCATCCATGAGAAGCCAGTGACCTGTGAGTACCCATATACACACAATGAGAAATGACAGACAAAAAGACATAATCTCTGCTGCTGTGAAGCGACCACAAATGCCAAAAGAAATCCTGAAAGGACAAGAAAAAGAAATTAGTGCATTTATCTCAAAAATATCTTTAAATAATGCATAATAAAGTAAATAAAAGAAAGGGCGTATCGTCAGTCGTAATACCATTGCCATGAAGTGGTTGACACTGCTTTATACAGATGAATTGGGATGTGAAAAACTGTACTGGTCCACAGCCTACATCTGACTCACACATACCTCCAAGAAGTCGCGTTAACCACACCCAGGTCAAAAGCATCGACCAGCTGGCTAAACTGTGAGGGTAGTTAGAATGGTTTTCTGACCCAACTAACGAAGAGGAACACGTCTTTCCAACCCACTCGTGCTAAGTGAAATTGTCATCAGTCAATTGCCATCCCAGGTATAGGAGCAGTGCCTCGGAGATCAATGGCTTTGCCAGTGTGCAGAGGAACTTCCAAGAGGAGGCATGGGGTAACCTCAGCATCCCCAGTGCAAAAGGAACCAGCAAGCCATTGCACTATTCTGCCTTGAATGTCGCCATGAACCACAATTACAACATAAACAAAGGGGAGTGGATGCGCTAAATGAATGATGAAATCAAAGAAAAAAAACTGAAATTGAGAAAATGGATGACACACTTTTAAAATTTCCATCTTCATTTCAATTGGTGACGAAGCATTGACTTGATCAAAATAGATCACCTGTGCACACACACACACACACACACACAGTGTATAAAGGCTGAATCCTCATTCCAACACAGATCTCAATGATACTGTTCAATGAAAAGCAACTTGAGACTCACAAAATAACTATGAAACAGCAGATCAGAGATATGATCATGATGAAGCTTTTTTACAAAGGCTGATTTTGTATGAATTATTTGTTATTGAGTTTAAGTCTGAATCTATTAAAATATGCTCTTAAAAGTGGTCACCTACTTAACTGAAAGGGAATAAAACAATAAAGATTATAAAAAAATTAAAAATTTTGGGAACAAGTGACAACTGGAAATTGAGAATTTTCAGGCACGTGTGTGTGTGTATATATATATATATATATATATATATATATATACACACACACACACACACACAAAAGCAGACAGTTGGATTGAAGTAGATCAGTTCTTGATCATTCATTAACAGGGACAGACTGCCACTGCTTTTCGGTCGAGTTACCAGTTGGACATCATGATACCGAGATGGGCAAAGAGTTAGTAGGAGGAAAAGTTGAAAGGAAGTGCTGATATGTTAGTCTAACATGGCAAATGTTGTGCGAGGAGGAGGATGCTTACGAGGAGGAGTTTTTTTGTTTGTTTTTTTTTTAAATTAGAAGGAGGATAAATTTGAGAAGTAGGTGGAGAATAAACTTAAAATTTATCCTCCTCCTACTACTTCTCAGGTCTTCCAGTATGGCAAAGCAGGTTTCTGCAGCCTTGACTTCATCAGCTACCAGCAGGCTTAGACAACAAGGACATTGTCTTCATTCATAAAGTCAACAATTGTAGTTCAGAACCAGAGCTTGGACAAAGCTTACAAGAAAGAAAAAAAAAATGCCAACTATATTCACTTACTTCTGTCCACTGGAACATGGCCGGATCATGTACTGACACATTGGTAATAACAAAAATGCAAATGCAACTGTAGCCAATACTGAAAAGAGAAAATAAAGAGTAAAGAATGGTCATTGAAGAATTTTCTTTATCACTAATCCAGGAATTCCTTAAAAAGTAAACAATAATGAGCATTCTGTACAAAGTTCTTCGCAGAGGGTAACAAATGATTTATATCCCTTACAACTTAACTGAAATTAATTCACAGCAGCAAAACCTTTAATTTTAAGGTTCACATTTCAAAATTACTGTTTTCTATTAAAAATTGATGACACTCATCATACAAATGTCAAAAGTTATACATATCTTTTAACTAATTAGGCATCTATATAGAGTAATAAATGTTGCTAATATATGTGTGTATATATATATATATATATATATATATATAAAGAAGAACTCTGATCAGGCATATTTGGTTATGAAGCTTATCTAGAAATTGCTTCTCACCTACAATGGATGTTTTCTTTCCCAAGATAAACTGGCTGACCGATTGTACCCAAATAGCAACTTAACATACTAATTAAGCCAAATGACATTTTCTAATTTATCCCTCGCCCACCAAAAAAAAATCTGAACTGATCTCAATGTGGATAACTTGCAGAAAATTTACTTCAGATAATTTACTTTAATTCAATCTAATCCTCAAAATTATTTCAAAATGTGCTGAACAAATTTTAAAATTCTCAAACAAAAAAAAATTAAGTTAATCACAAGTAAGAATCTATTTTACTGTTTTTCAAATTCCTCTAGCTTGGAAGTGCCTAGGAGAAAGTTGTGTGTGTGTGTGTGTGTGTGTGTGTAACTTACAGAAATTGTGTAATATATTTCCCCCATTGCTGGTTGCTCTCAAGAAGGTAGAAGTCAAAAGATAGTGGATCAATAATGCTGCAAATGGTCTGGAGTTTGAAACGAATGTGTGTTAACATGCTTTAGTGATCAAATAGATACTAATGTCACATGACTAAAATGATGTTACTACTCAAAAACTTTAACATGTGCTGAGATTAAAACAAATCTTTTGACATGAAGAGTCTCCAAAATATTTAAACATTTTTATTTTTTTTTGCGATTGAATTGGTAGAGTATAGTTGTATTGTTGATTATAATCTGACAGTAATTAGAAGGGTACATTTGATTCCCCCCCCCCAAACGTTTATACATGGTACTTTGCTCAAGGAGATAATAGGTGAATATCATTGTTGGTTATGCTGATTTAAATTAAGTCCAAATAATCATCTTTTTGCAATGTCCTTTGAAAAGAAACAAGTTATTTTTTATTTTATTTTTAGAAAGAAAAAAAGAAACCCCAAAAATCCAGCATTTTAGTGTAAATCTATAACAGAGAACAAAATAAATTACGGTGGTGAATGATAGAAAATGTAAATTTGAAAAACAAAGGATAAAACATAGAAGAGAGTTTATTATTTTGCGAATTTTAATTGTTTCAAATATAAAGCAAAGTGGAAGAAGATGAAAATATGAGAAAGCCTTAAGGCATTAATGTGTAGTGATAGCAACAAATCAATTAGTAAATAACCCCCAACTCTTGTTACTAGACTATGCAATAGTCTGAAACCAAAATAATAATTAATAATAAAAGAAAAATTAAAAGTTAAGCAATAAAAATACATTAAAATACAATGGTAATTAAAATTGGAGAAAAAAATATTAGATTATAAAAAACAGTTAAATAAATATAGAATACTCTCATGGTGCATCAGAACAAGTGTTTAACTGCCAAGTGAAACAAAAATCAAAACCTTTTCTCTTCATTTTTCAGCAACAAAACAGGAAAGACATCCTGGACAGTTCTCTGATAAAACATGTTGCCACCAACAGATAAACAAAACTTCTTTATTTCTATATTCATATGTTCTTTAAAACATACAATCATTTCTCTGAAATGTATGCTGAAGCATTTTAACATTTTTGTCTATGCTTATTTCGTTGTATCTCGTATATGATTTTGTTTGTAAATTTTATCATCCTATTGTGAGCTGATGATGACCCTTTTCAACCAGCCCCTGCCCAAAAAATACACATAAGAAATTACATTCAGATAATGGCCAACATCACAAGAACATGCCACAATCAATAAATGAATATTCATAACAGTATTATTACAAAGATAGGAATATTAGTCCTGAAAAAGTTAGTGATGGTGCTTTATTTTAGATAAATGATCAGTTAGAACTGACAAGATTAATACCAATGTATGGGTGTGTGGCATTGCAGCTTTCTCTGAATGTGAATCATCTCATGAAGATATGAGAGACTATTTTATTTTCCTCTCCCAAGTGGGGTGCTTATATATCTTCCCGTTATCCAGTTGTTCCATGCGTTCAAATCCTAAACATGGGTTGACCACCTGTTTATATGATTAATGTATTTGTTTTTTTTATTTTACATTCCAGTTTTTTTTTTTTGTTTTCAACATCAGAACATGCATGCAAAACGTAACGCATTACATCAAAACATAACTCATTCATTCTTTTCTTAGGGTACAAAAAAAAAAAAAAAATCTTCACACACAATACAAAGAAAGTTATAACAATTTTAAAACAGTCGGTGTTCATGTTTTTACACCCTCAAAAAATATGCAGTGACAGAGGGAAACATTCTAGAAAGAAATTAGGAGGGTAAAGATTAAAACTCTGGGAAGAATAAAGATGAGAATATTGATTTGGGAAAATGTCGCCAGAAGTTCATCTAATATGAAAAATCCAAGAAGCTCTGCTCAAATTTAGAATGAAAAAGTGAGTCATGAAATAATATGAAATGACCAGGCAAGACAGTTTTTGATTTAAGGAAACCTTTCTCTAAGACGACAGCCGAGACAAAAAAGGTGTGAAGCCAAGAAAGCAGAAGTAATTATTGGGTAGGGCTGTCAGAGAGGGTCACAAAATGATAGAGAGAGAGAGAGTCTGATGTGTAAATAGCTAACCTAAGATGGTAAAAATACAGCCAAAGAATTAAAATCTGGCTTTTAATCAATACAGGAAGTGCCTGATGCAAAACAGGACAGAATATGTCACATCTTGTCAAATAAGTTTCACTCATGGCAGATGAACAATTTCTACTGTGCATTGCCCGACTCTTCCAAGTTCTATCGACACAGTAAATTGGTATTTGATAACCTTGCTACTCAAAAATCAATCTTTTGTACCTATGTATAATAATGTGGATACAATTATTCTTGTAGTCCCGTAATGCGCCTTAGAAGGTAAATGCACAAGTCCATTGATGGCCTTCGTTCGTGGTCGCCGGACGCCCGCAATGCGCCTTAGAAGGTAAATGCATAAGCCTGCCGAAGTCTTGACAGAAATCTGAGATAACGTGCTTGAAGATCTTACAGAGTTGTAACAATATAACTTCTCAAATCCATTTTAAATTGCTAAGTTTCAAGATACCAATACAAATTGATTATTTTTGAAAAACAATTAGATATAACCTTTTAAGACGATATGGTTTGGGGATTGAATGGGAAAGAGAAAATCCAAATATTTAAGGTACAAATTAAATTCCTACAGAATTTGGGGCAGAATAGATATCTTAACAAAAAAACAAAGTGAAAATTGATTTTATGGGGAAAAAATGTGAGCAGTAACAGGACAAAAAAATGCTCATCGACAGGATGCGTAGAATCCAAAGACAGAACAATGATATTAGAGAAAGAAAAAAAAAATACTTCAGAAATGGAAAGAATATATAGGAGAACTATTCCATGGCAAAAGAGAACAACTGGCAATACACAGAAATACCGACAGACCAGAAATATTAAAAACCAAAGTGGAAGCTGCACTGGCCAAATTGAACAGAAACAAAGCGGCAGGGCCAGAGGGACTTGTAATAGATATGCTGGCAGCCTTAGATGATTTCGGCATCGACAAGATCACAGAAATAAATGAAATCTACAACAGTGGTGATATATCGGAAGACATAAGCAGATTTATTTTCATAGTACTGCCTAAGAAGACAGGTGAAAACGAATGTGAACTCTATCGGACAATCAGCCTAATTAACAACATAACAAAACTTACCATTTAAATTCTAATGACTAGAGCAGGCAGTAGAATCAGAGTGGAAATAAGACAGTATTGGTTTGTCAAAGACACCAAACAAGAAACGTAATATTTATGCTCAGAATGTTATCATAAATCGCAATACAAATGCAGAAGAGCATGTACCTGTGCTTTAAAGTATGCCACAAAGATCTGTTAGAGCTGCTCAGCAACCTTTGACATATTCAGGAAGAATAATCAAGAATATTGGTAGCAAACCACCAACATACAGATAGAAAATGAGTTCAACAGATATCCAAAAATAGAAAAGAATGTAAGACAAGGATGTGTCTTCTTACCAGATTCATTCAACCTATACAGTGAAGTAATTCTGAGGGAATTAGAAGTCCTACCAGGATTTATTATTGGCAGCCACAATCTTAACAACATAAGAAATACAGATAATGCAGTGTTGATAGCAGACATGGAAAGGAAACTACAAAAGTTCTTACAGAAGGTAGCGAAGAAAAATGAAAAGAGAGGGCTAAAAATAAACAAGACAATGCATGGTTGTTAGTAAAAGGATGAGCCCGAAATGCAAATTACAAATTAAGGGATACTAAAATCAAACAAATAAAAAATTTCAACATCTGGGAAGTGTTCTAACAGAAGGCGAAAAGTGTGACACCGAGATCTGAAGACGCATTGGGATGGCCAAAGATGCCTTCCAAAAGCTAAGCAGAGTATCTAGAAACTGATAAACTTCATTAGAAGCAAAGAAAAAATTAATGAAATGTTACGCGATATCTGCTGTTCTATATGGGAGCGAATGCTTCGCAATCTCCTCAAAAGATGAAGGGATTTGAAGCAACAAAAATGTTGTTCTACAGAAGGATGCTGAGGATATGAAACACTTTGCTTAGTTTTTATTTTGTTTCAAAGAAATACAGTGAAACCTCGGTTCACAAATTTAATTAATTCCTGAAGGCAATTCGTAACCAGAAATGTTCGTAAACTGAAACTATTTTTCCAATAGGAATCAATGCAGAGACAAAAAGACACAGTACAATAAAATTGTAAAAGAAAAGCATGGCACAACACACAACAAATGTATACAACATGGCGGTTGACTCAGAGATGATTCTATTGGGTTAACTTGGTTCAGCTATGAACTGAAATTTTGTTAGATAACTGAGGCATTTTTATCTCAAATTTTCTGTTCGATATATGAGGTTAAGGGTTAAGGTTGATCAAACCAATGACATTAGTAATAACAATTTAAATCCTTAACTGAAAAGTGAATTTGTCTACAATGCTCTTAAAAAGAAACTTTCATTAAAAGGTGTTGCTGCTCTTCATTACATATACATAGCATTAAAACATGTCAAATGTACCACTTATCACAAATCATTATTCACTTTTTATTTTATTTATAGCAAAGTCATTAGCATTTGTGACTTAGCTTTGGGCGGAATATTTACTGTGCATTTTTATTGGATAAAAAAAAAGAAAAAAAAAAAAAAAAAAGCCTTTTAAAATTAACTTTATAAAGTCAAATTTATTAAATGAAAATAAAAATTAAAGACAAAAGAACCGTTTCCAAACAGGACAAGTCTCACTCGGTTCTATCAAATGAATTATATGACACATGAACACAGAAATATTTTAGGCTTTATTTAACCAGGCAGTTTTAAACCAATGAAAACAATGTTTTCTAAAGAGATGTCAGGTTTTAAACCTGCAGGGGTAAGAAAGATCAGAATAGTGAGAAATGTCAACAAGTTTCATGTAATTGAGTTGTTATTAATGCAGCTACAAAGAAAAAAAAAAATGACATTTACACAAAAGATGTCTTATTAATGATTAGTTTGTCAGTCATTTGTTTGGTTTTTTAATATGGCAGTACATTGAAAAGAATCTCATTTCTATTTGTTAATGTGGCCATGAAGTAGGGTGTGTTCTTTCTATAACAACACAGATTGAAAGGTCAATAGAAAACGACTCTACAACATTTGGAGAAGGCATCTAATAGCAAAATACAAGTTGTACAATGACTGTAAAAAGAGATTTACATTATTCGGACAACATTTCGGCCGTTGTACGCTTCGGCCTTCTTCAGGTGGTTGGAATGTCAAACTGAACTTCGCTCACTGGGGTAGACTGTTCTAGTTCCTCAAGGACACATGGTACAGTGGATAAAGGCATTGGTATATCCAGTGACATGACCCAAACAGTGTGAGTTCAATACCCAGTTAAGGCAGTGGAGAACTTGGAGAGGGGAATTAACAGGAGATAACTGATAACTTAAACATGGCATGCGGAACTAGAACAGTCTACCCCAGTGAGCGAAATAAAGGGTTCATTTCAACATTCCAACCACCTGAAGAAGGCCAGAGCGTACAACGGCTGAAACGTTGTAATAAATATGGCGACAAAGATGAGGACAATAGTCCGAATAACGTAGTGTATAATACCTCATCTCTGAAATATAGACAGATACAAAAAGAGATTTATTTTAAACTAAAAATCACTCAATATGGTTATACATGTTGTGTTTGTTTCTACTTATGCCAATTCTCTTTGAGGATTTCAGTTTCAATAGAAAATGAACTGTAATTGAATCATAAACATCACTCAAAAAAAAGTTTCAAGATTTCAATAAAAAATATTAAACAAAGACACTATGTTCTTGTCCATGTCTAATATATAAAGATCAAAGTTTGTGCGGTTGTAACCTACTTGGCCACTCTGTTGAATGCTGCAAGATACTTTGCTTTTACAATTGATGGAAGCCCAATTCTCAAAGAAGTGACAGCAGAATACAATAGCGCAAAGGAAAAAGACTTGCCCTGCACAATACTTTGCAGCTTTCATTACAAGGAAACTTTTATTTTTGCTTTATTAAAGTTTTATCAAAGAATGCCTCTTATTTGTTCTATGGTGAGAACTTTGGCTGAATATTGATCTGAACTTTTCACTGTATAATGTTGAGTCTATGCAATCAATATTCATTACTGAATTAAGTAGATTGTCAAGTGGAGCAAATTATGCCAAAAAAGTAAATTCTTTTTGTATAAAATAAATGATTTTTTACATCACTATACTACCATTACTAGGTACATGTGTTTTACACATATACACCAGGGGTGCAGATATTAAGAAGTGGGACAAGCTGAGAACTTTTCACTACCCCTTCATATATATATATATATATATATATATATAATACAAATAAAATTTGTCACTGAGCTAATTGATGTTATATTCAGCACCTTGACTTCAGAGTTTTGTAAAATAACCTTTTTGTAATCTTTCAGTCCACTCATCAGGAGGTTTCAGCAATTGATTACAATTTTTTTTTTTTTTCATTGTTATATTTATACTAAATTAGATGTAATTAATTTATGCACTAGTTATTGGTGAAAATTCATTTTTTTCCTGTAAGTGTGCATTTTAAATTTGGATAGAAATCCAAAGGAATGGTAAATCTGACAATTTGGGTGAAAAAAAAAATATTCAGGTTACACTGATCAGCAAAACGCTGAACATTTTTTTTTTTTTTTAAATTGTCATAAAATTATCACACACATTCAATAGCCCAATAACCAGTCACCACTTTTGCTTGACAATAATTTGTATTGTCTCACAAGCAAAGGAAAAACAATTTTTTTGACAAATAGTGAAAATTTCTTCAGCAAGCCATTCAATGGTGATTAATTCAATTGAACCTTATTTGCACTTATTCTGACAGAAAAGGCTTTTAGGCTCCAGCTAAACTGAAATGATTATGTGTCATTGTTTTTTTTTTTTTTTTTGGGGGGTATGGTTTAAAAACCCTTTGTGGGTTATTTAAAGCCAAAACATATTTAGGATTGTAGGAGGTCACTCCCACTACCCTGTATTCTCAAACAGTCCCCCATCTAAACAGTTGACAAAAGAGAACCTGTCAAAAAAAAAAAAAAAAAAAAAAAAAAAAAGGAAATTTGGACATACTTACTGGCTGTGCAGATTGCAAAAACCATTTGAAGAGAATCAAAGAAGAGAAACATAACCAAGAGAGAAACAGATGCAGCAATTGGCAAGAACATTGCCTGACACGTGTCAATTGTTTGTACATCTGAAAAGAAACAGGAAGATAAGAAAAAATATGGCAAATATTAAAGTCAATAAAATAATTACAAGATCATGCAAAGGTCATCGGGAAATTATGACATGGTATAAAACTAACAACATGGATCAAGGTAAACCCGCCATTTAAAATCCCAAAAGAAAACCTCAATTTCAAAGTAGTTGATTTTGTTTAGTGGCATATTAACCTATATGGTGATTTAATGTACAAATCTAAATATTTTGAAAGCTATTGTATGCCTTCAACTACAGATAACAGGCATTGTTGGGCCATTCTGCTACAAACAGGCATTGTTGGGCCATTCTGCTACAAACAGGCATTGTTGGGCCATTCTGCTACAAACAGGCATTGTTGGGCCATTCTGCTACAAACAGGCATTGTTGGGCCATTCTGCTACAAACAGGCATTGTTAGGCCATTCTGCTACAAACAGGCATTGTTGGGCCATTCCATTTTATATATATATATATATACAGGCATATATATATATATATATATATATAGCTGGTATTTTTTTGCCATAAAAATTTATTTTTATACTTTCAGTGTTTTGTTTTTACTTGGGGGTTCACTATTTTCCCATAGTTTGGACCCTAACAAGTGCTACTACCCTGGGTCAGGGTGGATCTGTGGACAACAGCCATTAAGAAGTGATTCCACGCTCCTAAAAAGCTCCAATCTCTCAATCCGAGGCCTTGCTGCTGGATGAGTTTATCGTCATACACAGGACTTTGTAATTTCTAACTCAAAACTGGCAATTTCAAATAAACCAAAGCATTTGTGAAAGTTTTGAGTTGAACATTTCAAAACTTGAAGTAGTATGTGACATTTAGGAAGTAGGGATTTAGTGTTAGGCGTTCTGGCAATAGCGTAGCAAGACAAGGAGTCCAACACTGAAGTTCTGTCTCAAGCAGGTCTGTCCAATATGTTCACACTGCTCAAACAGTGTAGACTCCATTGGTTAGGCCAAGCCCACTGCATGCCAGACCTCTCCATATGGAGAGCTGGCCTCTGGAAAGAGACCTGCCAGGCGGCCACAGCTGCAGTAACACAATGTCATGAGGTGCGACATGAAAGCTGTGGACATCACAGTCCTGGGAGAGCCTGGCAGCCATACAATCTGAATGTAGAGGAACCCTGACCAAACACCTCAAGTCAGGGGAGGAGAAGCTGACATAAGTTGCCATGGAAAGGCGGACCCGCAGAATGTAAAGTGACAGCTCCAACAGACCAGAGACAGAACACACATGCGACCCCTGCAACAGAGATTGTCACTCTTACATCGGCCTCTACAGTCACAGATGTCGATGCTCCAGCCAAGTAGACAGCTAGGATGCTATCCATGGTCAACCCTGACTGACGGTGGCCTACTTACTTACTAAGGATTTAATAATGACAAAACAGTTAAAACGGGCATTGTATTGTCTGTTTTGTGATGGCAAAAGAAATAAAATGAGAGAACATCCAGAAAAGATTGCCAGTTGAGAAGGTAAATCAAGTGGAAGATAGTAAAGGATAGAAACAAGGACAAATGCCAAAAAGAAAGAAAAGAAATTGTAGTAGAGATTGATAGAGCAATTTGTTTTTATGACTTACCAATAATTGTGGGTTATTAAGAGTCAAAAAATATGTTTGATTCTAAGAAGAATAATTCTTTTATGAGTGAATACTACATTGCCAATTTTTTTGAGAACAATGATTTATTTCCAGATACAAGTCCTACTATTTAGCCCATAACAAGGAGGAGGAAATGGTTTTATACCTTTCCAAATGATATTTGCACATAAGTGAATTTAACAATGGAATTTGAACTCTGTTATACAATTTCTCATTTTGAACCTCTATCCATTGCACCCCCTGCACATCCACAAATTGGCGAGAGAGTGGAGAATAAAAAAAGAGGGGCTTAAGAAAAGGATTTTAGCTAACCTGTAATTAAACAGTAACTTTTGGGAGATAGGAACAACAAATTTAACCAAGAAATGCACAAAGCAATCGTGTTAAACACATAATTGGCATGGAAGATAATCTGATCCAGACAGACATTCACTTTAATGCAGTTTCTGATCTCGATTTTTAAAAGTGACCAAAGAATTATGAACTGTATTTCAAGAAATATTGTTTTACTTCATAACATTTCAGTCAGTTATGTACCAAGCATGACAGGCACTTAGGCAATCATGTATCTTTTGATACATGACTGATGAGGCAGATTTTTTCCCACAGTACGTTGCCATTTCTTTCTGCAGTAGACCAGTTGCCATCCAAGGCTATAGAACCTGGTCTGTTGTTCTATTTACCCATAGCTGGGCAGAGAAGAAAAGGATATTAGCACTTAAGTGAATGTAATGGATTTGACTGGAATTCAAACTCGCCTCTCCGATTTCTCAATGCGAGCCGCTATCTATTACACCACCATGCCTCCACTTAGTTATCTGAAAAGAACACATTTTATACATGGAATGACAGAATAAAAATACTCAGGTTCCACATTGGATAAACTTTAAACATTGCTTTTTTTTTTCCTGTAATGTTTAAAGTCTCAGAAACGAAGCAACATAAATATCTGACATGTTTACCTACTCTATGAATAGGCATGTTTTTTTTTCCTCTTTTATTTTTCTAAGTGTTCACCCCATGCAAAGAAGGAAAGCCACTAAGAGGCAAGAGGTCATTGGGTGTGAAAGTATTAGAAAACAGAAACATTACTAAGGAATGAGAACAGAAGAGTAATCAGGAGATAGCAATTGACATTACATTTAAATTTTTGAAAACTGGAGAGGATGGCGCTGGAAAGGAGTTCAACAAGCAAGAAATGCAAAAATAAGAAACTTATGGTTACATCTAGCCAATTTAACTGTAAATTGATGAGACGTTGCTTAAATTGGACAAGTTCTTCATTATGGTATGTAGACTATAAATTTAAGCACAATAATAGATTCACAGAAAGGTTTCTTCATTTTACAGTTGTAATGGTGAGATGTAACCTTAAGTTCTATGCTAACAGTTTCTTTTCTCGCACTTCTCGTTTGTGGAACTTTCTTCCAGCTTCTTACTTCCTAATCAACTTATCTTCAAAAATTTAAATGCAATCTCAATTGTTTTCTTAATTCTTGTCCTTTTAATTGTTTTATTTCCTTTATAGTCTTTTTTTTCCAATGTCCTCTAACACCCACTACTTCCTTGTGTCTTAATGGCGTTATTGCCTTCCTTAAAAAACAAAAAAAAAGGTGTGAGAAACTAATCTGAATGGAAATGCCTGTAATAATAATTATAATAATTCCTCATCCCAAAAATTCCAACATAGAATATGTACCTTCAATAGTACCTGAAATAATACATATACCATTGGACATAACCTGTTAGTGTAGGAACAATCAATGTACATATACACTAAAATTTCTTTTCAGAATAAGATGAAGTGTAGTATCTGCTGGAAGTTGCTTCCTTTTTTAAATTTGCTCTTAAAGAGTAAGCATCCATATACAAATATAGGTTTGGTTTGTTTTACGGTATATCAACCTCAGTGGGTCATTTAATGCCAACATTTTTTTGTTTTTTCCCCTCGTAAAATGCTTGTTTTGTCAAAAATCTATTTCTTTTCATATTTTTTTCCTCAAAAGCGTACAGCTGGCAACATTATTTTTCCTCAAAAGCGTACAGCTGGCAACATTATTTTTCCTCAAAAGCGTACAGCTGGCAACATTATTTTTTTCCTCAAAAAGCGTACAGCTGGCAACATTATTTTTCCTCAAAAGCGTACAGCTGGCAACATTTTTTCCACAAAAGCCTACAGCTGGCAACATTATTTTTCCTCAAAAGCGTACAGCTGGCAACATTATTTTTCCTCAAAAGCGTACAGCTGGCAACATTATTTTTCCTCAAAAGCCTACAGCTGGCAACATTATTTTCCTCAAAAGCCTACAGCTGGCAACATTATTTTTTCCTCAAAAGCCTACAGCTGGCAACATTATTTTTCCTCAAAAGCCTACAGCTGGCAACATTATTTTTCCTCAAAAGCCTACAGCTGGCAACATTATTTTTCCTCAAAAGCGTACAGCTGGCAACATTATTTTTCCTCAAAAGCCTACAGCTGGCAACATTATTTTTCCTCAAAAGCCTACAGCTGGCAAATATTATTTTTTCCTCAAAAGCGTACAGCTTTATTTTTCCTCAAAAAGCCTACAGCTACAAACATTTTTTTTTTTTTCCTCAAAAGCGTACAGCTGGCAACATTATTTTTCCTCAAAAGCGTACAGCTGGCAACATTATTTTTCCTCAAAAGCGTACAGCTGGCAACATTATTTTTCCTCAAAAGCGTACAGCTGGCAACATTATTTTTCCTCAAAAGCGTACAGCTGGCAACATTATTTTTCCTCAAAAGCGTACAGCTGGCAACATTATTTTTCCTCAAAAGCCTACAGCTGGCAACATTATTTTTCCTCAAAAGCCTACAGCTGGCAACATTATTTTTCCTCAAAAGCGTACAGCTGGCAACATTATTTTTCCTCAAAAGCCTACAGCTGGCAACATTATTTTTCCTCAAAAGCCTACAGCTGGCAACATTATTTTTCCTCAAAAGCAAACAGCTGGCAACATTATTTTTCCTCAAAAGCAACATTTTTTCCTCAAAAGCCTACAGCTGGCAACATTATTTTTCCTCAAAAGCCTATTGCTGGCAACATTATTTTTCCTCAAAAAGCGTACAGCTGGCAACATTATTTTTCCTTATTTTTCCAACATGTACAGCTGGCAACATTATTTTTCCTCAAAAGCCTACAGCTGGCAACATTATTTTTCCTCAAAAGCGTACAGCTGGCAACATTATTTTTCCTCAAAAGCCTACAGCTGGCAACATTATTTTTCCTCAAAAGCGTACAGCTGGCAACATTATTTTTCCTCAAAAAGCTACAAACATTATTTTTCCTCAAAGCCTACAGCATTATTTTTCAAAAGCGTATAGCTGGCAACATTATTTTTCCTCAAAAG